CCCCGCCCCCTTCCGCAGCCTCCTCCGCGGCTCAGCTGGTGCAGACAGATCTCACGGCGCCATGGTGAAGATCGCTTTCCACTCGCCGTTCGCCCGCAAGGACGAGCCCAAGAAGGAGGCTGCTGAGGCGCTGGTGGCCGACAAGGTGCGCGCCGGGTCGGGGCTGCGGTCCCTGCGAAGCAACGCGAGTCTGGGCCGCCGCCATCTTCTCCCGGCGGCTGCGGGGAGGGGGCCGAGCCCGGCGCCGCCATCCCTCCCTCCTCCCTCCCTCACGGGCTAAAATGGCGGCGGGCCCTGCCGGGTGCGGGGGGCCGCCTCCTCCTTCCAGTCCCGGGGCCACCGCCGGGGGAGGGGCAACTCGGCCCCGGGCCTCACGGGTCCTAGCGGCGGAGCCTGGCCGGGCCTGGCGAGGACCGGGCTCCATTTGTGAGGCCGTGCGTGGCCGGGCCAGGCCGAGCGCACCCGGCTGTCTCTGGCCGCGGCTTGCTGGCCCCGCTTTTGTTTTTTAGAAGTAACTGCATCTTTAACAGAGTGATTCGCAGGGCTGCAGTCTTCCCAGCATTGTTCGCACTTGGCAAAGTAAACCTCGGTGCCTTGTGCCTTGTGCCTTGCCCCTGCCTTGTTTCATTTTGCTTTAAATGAAATCAGTGCTTGCGATCACGACTGCTGCTTTTGAGGGTTGCAAAATGTGCTGTCCAACCGAGCTGCAGCTGTCTGTGCGTGTTTATGTGTGCATTGATGTGTCCTTGCTACTGTGCATTAAGTTTAGTACTTCTAATATGAAGTACTACCTAAACGCAATGTAGCCATTGCTATATGCAGTAGCAAGGGTGCACGGTCTTTTTGTGCAGTAGACTTAATGCCACTGCACACTAGCACAGTTTTTGCCATGATGCCCTAATGTGCAGTAGAACTAGTCTACTGAGCATAAAGCGTCTGTAGGATGTAGGTGCCCCTCTGTCAACTAAACTCTTTCCTCAGCATTGCATTGGAATAAAGCACTTGTTTTGGGGGGGGTTGTTATTAAAGGTAGTTGCATGCTTCACTCTTACACAAATTTATCCCCCCACCTCAAAACTACAGATCATCTAGTACTGTTAATATCCACTTTCCCCTTTTGCTTTCGTGTTTGCTATCTGGCTTGCAGAATGCAAAGGACTTTGCTGGCAGGAAGGTTTGCTGAAATGGCACGTTTTAAAACAAACACAAACAAGAATTTTATATGGGACGCTAGTGCTTGTGAAATACGCAGGGTGTCCTTGTAAGAAGAGGCAAATGGTGTCTCTCGACCTGCCTGCACAAACCAATGCACCTGTGGTCTGGTGTGTGGGTTCCTTCCCCACCCCACCCCCTGCTTGCCCTTACAAATTGAAATGGTACCCTGGCTACTTAAGGGAATTTAACAATAAGTAAAGCCACAGTATCCCCTGGCACACCAGTGTTTGATTCTGCTGTAACCTGACAGTCAGGATGGAGCTCCAGGTATGACTTCTGGTCTAGTGACATTGCACAGATTGTGTGTGGGTGGGAGAAAGGGTGCCTCCCAACTTCTTTTTTCCTGGCGTACTTAAACGATTAGCTCTTTGGGGCAGAAATTGTCTTAGTTTATATATGCATTGGCTAGCGCAACATGGCGGCAATTTCATTGGGGTTTTAGAGCCTACTCTAGTTTAAAACAAGGCTATAGTGTACCTGTAGTCTACCATAAATACTTACAGACTTGGAAAGCAATCCTAGTTAAAACAATTGCGAAAAGCTGTTGCACAAATCTAGTGCACTCTGTGTGGAAAAACTGCAAAAAAAGTCTATGAGAAAGCAAAATGGCCTTAAAGAATCTTAATTTTAAGAGGTGCTATCTTATCAAAAGGCCCAAGTCTACATGGACTGAATGGCCCTGTACACCAATGTGTTTAAGGCCCTCCAGGTTCTGTAGCTAGGAGCACAGAAAGGAGTGGTGCTGCCAGCACCACGACTGGCTGCCTTGGATTCCCCAGCCTGAATTAGGAGAACCCATTCATAGCTGGGTTACCTGGAGGCCACCCTCAGCAGGAGGTAGAAAAGGGCTCATACTTCTGCAGAGGAGTAATATGACTCCTTACTTCTGCCACCATGACTTTTATATCTTAGTCCAAATGTTAGTCAGATGAAAGTTCTGCACAAGCTGGACCTGGATTTGAAATTGGCATTTCTGGAATTACTATCTTGCTGAATACTAGTGTAACAACTAGCCAGTATCAGACATTACTGTGGGGGGTTGTGTATTAAACCAGTTTATTGGGAATTATGGGGGGTTTTCCTGTATATATTCTTTCATGTTGCTGTACTCAGCAAAACACACACACACACACACATTCATATACACTTTGCATAACAGAGGTCCTAAAATAACTTGCAATCTGTAAGAAAAATATTTATCTTTCTTACTCTGACTTGCTATATGAATTGCAGCCCTTTGTGTGTTTGGTTTGTTTACTCTCATTCAGTGTAAGGTGTCACGTGTGTGTCTAGGGCACAGGTATCACTCGCCTGGCATCCCTGGGTTGGATCCAGACTGTGTGGCAAGCAGCATAAGGGACCTGTGGGGGTTAATGCAGCTATAGTTCACTGATGTTTGCCCAGCCCTGGATTTTCACTGGTGGGTTGTACCTTTGAATACCTGGCTCCTGTAAACGCTCCATGGGCCAGATCTGGTCTACAGGCTGTATATTTGACATGCCTAGTCCAAGGGATGCTGTCAGCTTTAGGTCACCTTTTAACTGAAGTATTGTCTTTTATTTGGTTGGGAAGGTGGAAGGGTGCAGAAGTACTTAGTGTGTACTTGTTTCACTTCCCATGTTTGTGGGTTTCTTATGCAATTTGTTAGAAAGAAGTATAGAAAGAATTGGAAAACATGATTTGACTGTAAACCTTGAAAACTGGTGGTAAGAATCAGGGAATTGGTGATTGATTTGACATTTGGTGGCTCCACGTCTATTCAAGCTCATTTCCTTTTAGGGATAAAGCAGGTCACCATAGTAAACAAAAAACAAACCCTTTGAAACCAGCTTAAAAATCTAGACAAATGGAATTCAAGCCTATTTCTGGTGCTTAAAAAAACAGATTCTTGTAACGTATTGGTCCTGTTAATTAAGTAGTATGTTACATATCTTGAAAGTAAGAGGGAGTTTTACCTATTTTTGTAAGAGTTGGAAGTGGCCAGCTTTAAGTCTGTTGGACATCTTCCTGTCTGGATATTAGTGTGGGTATAAATTATTGCCATAATGGTCAAAGCCTATATTTAATTCATAAAGTGAACAGTTTAAGACAGGGTAAACAACACACAGCCCAGGGGCTGTATCTGGCCTTGCCAAGTGATTTCATCTTGCTTCCGTAGTAGGGATGGCGGCAGTAATGTGGTGGCAACTGGGTCACAAGCACAGCAGCCGCAGAGGGATCCAGCAGTGGCCCACCTCAGACTGAGTTGCATCACTTTGGCCTGCAGCTTTTAAAATCTTGAAGACCCTGGTTTAGGACTTCAAAGGATATCTTTTCCTAAATCCCCCTGCCCCCCAGTCTGTAAGGAGAACCAGAATTCCAATAGATTTTTGGATTAGCTCCTGTTAGCTATAATATTTTATAATAAAGTTGTTTTCATTGCACTGATTTGACTGATCCTAATCTTTCATACCAATGGAGTGTTTCTCAGATGCCTGACACCTACATGTTTATTCCCATCAGTTATGCAGTGATACTCCTTGTTGATTTCAAGTCAAGCTTGATCACCTTGAGTCTTAGAAGAAGAAAAAATATTATTAAATTCAAGCCAATTAAGTTTTGTTGATTCTTATTCTCCTTTCCTTTTTTAAAGGATCCAGAAATTGCCACACATGGAAATGAAAACTCATCTGGAAGATGCCTGTTGACACTTTTGGGTCTTGCATTCATCTTGGCAGGAGTTGTGGTTGGTGGAGCCTGCATCTACAAGTACTTCATGCCTAGGGTAATAGAAGTGTTCTGTTCATTTTCACATGTGCTACTTTTGATAGACATAAGCAAAATATTCACCAATAATAAATGTAAGACTTAAAGGATTTCCAGTGTGATAATTGACTTTAAAATCCCATCTAAGGACTGAAATAAGATACTGTCCTGCATATGCAGAGGGAGAAAAAATTATCTGGGGGGGTTTAGCATGTGCAGCCCCACCCCATAGATAGGTCTGAGGGAAGGGGCGGGTTGAGGAGAAAATCTGCCTGCCCACTCTGCATAGCCTGAGGCCCGAGCAGGGGCTGGAGTGAGTGGGGCCCCAGCTGGGCTGGGTGGTGGAACAAGGCCCCCCACAAACTGTGTGTGGGGTGGAGGTAGGTGCTGCTGTGCTTTAAGTCCTGCTGCCCCGAGAGCCACGGAACGCCACATGCGTCCTACTGCTAGGCAGGCAGGGGGTGTGGTGCCACCCAGCAGCAGCAGCAGGCACGTAGCCGTGCTGCTCTTGGGGCAGCAGGGAGCAAAGCACAGCGGCAGCTGCCTCCACCCCACACACAGGTTGTGGGGGGCACATCCCCCACCCCCAGGCCTCTGCTTGTTGCACCACCCGGCTGGGGTCCCACTCCTGCTCCTGCCTGTGCATTCTCCAGCTGGGGCCCCAGCTCCTCCTCCTACCTGTGCCCTTCTCCCTTTCTCACTGTGGGGGGCCTGGGATCTGCCCCCTCCCTCCCCCCAGCAGTGAGGGAGGGAATGGGGCTGGGGATCAAGACACCCCCCCCCCACACACACACACACACAGTGCAGGAGGAAGTGGGGCAGGGGTGAATCATCCACCCCTGCCCCACTCCCTCCTGTACTGTGGAGGTCTCGATCTATCCCCCACCAAGCCCAGCCACAAAAAGTAGATTGAAACTTACCTGCTGTGCTGGGCCGGGGCTGCGATCCTGGCTGAGTGTGTATCTGAGCGTGTGCCACCCACCCTCGCTTTGCTACAGCAACCTGCGGCCTGGGTGCCCTGTGGCTATGCTTGCTGCCCTGCGTTTGGAGGGGCAGGGGAGGGGGGCTGAGCCCCTGTAGCCCCCCCTTCCGTCTTTTGTGCCATCCTGTGACACTTAAACCATTAGTAGTAGAAAGAGAGGGCTGCCCTAAACTTAGGATTTTGTGTTTAAAAATAGTATGCAATGACTAAATAATTAAGCTGGTACGCTCTCCTCTTTTATAGCATAAGGTGTTCCGTGGAGAAATGTGCTATGTCGAAAATGAAAATCAGGATCGTGCTGTTGAACCATACTTCCTGCCCATTGCAGAAGAAGCTGATATTAGGGAAGATGACAACATTGCAATCATTGATGTTCCAGTTCCAAAGTTTTCAGATAGTGACCCAGCAGCTATTGTTCATGACTTTGACAGGGTGAGTAAAAAAGGAACATTTTAAAGCTGTTAAGAAAGGACTGGCTTTACTGTTGACTTTCCTAGATGATTGTTTCTTAAATGGCATTGCCATGACTTTATTCTTGAGACTAATAAACTTGGGACCAAAAATTATGCAATTCTTATTTCCTGCAATTAAACGTTTTTGAAAATTTAGCTTTTGGCTCTGAAGAACTGAATAGTTTCCTTTATCCAAACAAACTTAGCTGTACTACTAACATAGATGTAAACTCTATAGCTTGACATCTAGTTCTGTTACACTTAAAGAAAATCTCTTTGATTTTACTTCTCAAGGAGCAAAACAGATGAGCTAATATGGAGCTCTGTGCCACTGTAGCCAGGCAGTTTTCAACACCTAAGATAACTTGGGTATTTCTGCACTACATTGCTGTGGGCAGTGCAGACATACCTGTGATTTCAGAGCCACTTCCTGTAATTCTTGAATCCTGTACCTAACCAGTCTTTTTTCTAGAACTTGAGTAGCTGTAAGTGAAACTACGAATACTGATCAGAATTGGATGACCAGCACCACAAGAATGAGCTCAATAAGGTCTATCCTAAGTACTCTTGAAAATTTAGCCATGCAGATTTTTGCATGAGAATGGAAGAAACAAAGCCCTCACTGAGAGGAAGTAAACTTGATTTTGTGTTATCTTGGGGAAACTCTTCCAAAGTGTTACAGAAGCAAAAATGATTTTAAAATTGCTTTTAAAAATGTATACGAAGGGGTTTTTGGTTTTTTGTTTGCTTTGTTTTTTAATCCTTGGCTGATCGGTATTTCTAAAGATAAATTTTAATTTTTGGAATGCAGTTAGGGAAACCCATACAAGTGCACAAGTTTTTTATTCGTGTGTTTGCAACACACGCACACACTTTTTATATAAACTATAGCTTTCTTTCATTCACTCTCTTGGTGCTCTTCATATGATATACTCTTTCTCCTCTGCCTGTATATGCTATACTTGTACTGCAGCTAATCTCTTCAGTGTCTAGATTTTTGCCTTTGTGAGATTGAATTCACTTTAGCAGTGGGAGTCTGAAAATTTTCTTTGACAGTCCTTAAGTCACCCAGGTTTTTGAAAGCAACTGTTTTTTTCCAGAGTACTGAAACCAGTTCATGTCATCTTACTGGTAGAAGAAATAATGATATAATCCAAAGACGTTCATATGAACCATCCCTTGGTTTCTTGTTGCAAGTGCTCTTAGTGTTTGGGAGCAACTTTCAGTTTTTCAGCAAAAGTGAATTGTAGAAGTGACTTCATATAAATGTGGGGCAGTTGGAAGCTTGCATCAGAGACGTATTTGTTTTTGATTTGGGACAGTATTTTTATCATCACATGATAAAACCTGTCTCTGCTTAGTATGACTGAATATGTTAACTTTTAAAATGGCATAATTCTGCTTAACTATTCAGTGTCTTTCTCTCTTTCTAATTTAACTGCACAATGTTAGTGAGTACTGGCTGCTCACATCCTGTTGACAAAGAGGAAGATGATCAGAACAGTGGAGCTGTTCTGTGACTTGCTAGAGCTAATAGTTTAGTAGGCAAACAAAAAAATTTAATCTTAATCTCTTACCCCTCCCACCCCTCCTTGCCTTCCAATCACTGGTATTTAAACCAGTGGTTAGTGCAGTTCTTGGTTTCATTTTGAAGGGTTTTTCCCTGTTTTTGTGGCACCAGTTTTATTCTTATCCAGTATTGAAAGTGATACTGATACATAAAATTGAGATTAATGACATCACTTTTGCATGTTGCTGCTTTTTTGATATCTGGTTTCCCTGGTTCTTAAGGCTAGATATGTCACAGAACTGTACCATTAGTTAAAGGGATTGGGCACTTTGTATGGGAATCTTTGTCAGGAGTTTTATAAAGCACCATGGAAAAAGTATAATTTATAGAAATAGACTAGTGTTTGTATTGAAACTGCACTGACCCTGAAGGATTCTGCTCTTCGCAGCACTGTAACTTGTGATCAAATCACTTGTACTCTGTTGGACTATTTCTAACTGGGCACGTTTTAATTAGATTGCTGTAATTACAAAAAAAATCTCGACGATACGAAGACTTTCTCTTATTAATTGTATTCTATGTGATATGAACTACTGAAGAACAAAAACATTTATGGTCTGCTAGTCAGTTTTTCAGTTCCTGTTAGTAAGTAAGCTTTTTATATGAGCCATAGCTTATTTGCTGTAAGCTTACTTTAACTGTTAATGTTAATTCTAAAAATAGCCTTCTTCTGATGTTTCTTATTCTGATCTTGGATTCCTAGACTTCCTAATGAGTCTTGTTTTTAGAGTCTAACAGTTGATTATAATGGTCACAAACTGAGAGAGCCCTTGCTTTGTCAAAAACAGCTGTTTAACTTCTTTCCATAATAGCTTCTGACTGCTTATCTTGACTTACAACTGGGTAACTGCTATGTGATCCCTCTGAACACATCCATTGTTATGCCACCAAGGAATCTGATGGACCTGTTTGCAAAACTGGCGGTATGTACAACTGTGTTTGATATGGTTAATGTGGTGATTTCTAATTTGCAGTGAAGTTCAGGAGCAGTGTCTAGCATTTTTGCTATATTAAACCCTTTCGTTCCCCAAAAGTGTAGTCCTTTCTTCTTGCTGAATTGTGGTAAATCATAGAATATGTTGCACCTGTTGAATAGAGAGAGCTTCACTTTTTTCCCCAAGTCTACTACTTTCATATGCGAAGTACCTGGCTTTTTATGAAATCTAAAATCTTGCAAATAACAGCTGATCTGGCCACTATGAAGAAATTAATATTGGGTGAAATAGAATAAAGTCTAAACCTAGTTGTCATTTACTGGAATGACCAGCTGTGTTGGTTCAGTGAAAACTTGGGAAAAGAACTGTGTGATGTTATATTCCCAAGTTACTGATTTCTGATTACCTGGAGTGTATATCTGAGCACGCATTGTGATGCAAATGTGAAAACAACTTGTTGGCCAAAAAAGGCACTTTCAGCTGTGCTTTTAAGGTTAAAGAAAAAATGTCTTCCACTTCCAATTCAAAATTCTGAAGGTAGGTGCTAATGTTTTATGCATACAGCCCTCCAATATAGGTATCTCTATATATAGAGCTACATAATAGATGTGTATATGTATGAATAATATGTATTTATACTGTATAGTTAAGATGAGATATAGAACTAACATTTGGGCTTCTATGCTTAGGACTATGTTTTTCAGTTTATCCCCTGCTAGTCTTGTTTAAAGGGGTCTAGTTACTAATTACAACTTTGGTATTGTATTGCACTAGTAAACTGAATGTGACCCTTCGTGGTACATAGGTAATGTTAAGAATGAATCCCATGTTCTGGCCATATTAACAGTAAAACAGAACAATTTAAAATCCAGTTGTCAAATATTGATTTACCAAGTGATCGTTGAGAAGTTCGCTGTGGTTTCATAAAATATTAATTAAAAAAATTTGGCTGAACTCTAATCGTAAGTCTCAAGTTCAGTTAAGTTACCTAAGGAGGTTCTAGTAACAATTTTAACAGCTTTCTTGTGTTTTCTCTTTCTCTCCTTTTTTAGACTGGTTCGTACTTGCCTCAGACTTATCTGGTTCGTGAAGAAATGGTGGTAACAGAGGAGATAGATAATGTATCTGACTTGGGCATCTTCATTTACCAGCTTTGTGTAGGAAAAGAGACCTTCAAACTGCAGCGCAGGGATCAGATAATGGGTGAGTGGTTTCTCCAGTGAAGGAAACCTACTTTAGCAGGAGGGTTACATTTAAGAAAGATGAAAATGTAGATGGGTGCCAAAGTAGCCTGTTTAGAATAATAATCCCAACCCCCCCCCCCCCCCCACCACCACTTTTTTTTTTTTTTTTTTTAATGTTTTGACTTTTGGCATTCTCTTCAAAGGCTGTTGAGTTCACATTTTTTTCTTCACCAAGTTAGTGTACATCTGCTACAGGATATAGATTTCTCAATTATATCCCCAAAAACTCAACTGGTACTCAGTTCACTTCAGTTGTTCTATCTCAGGACCAATAAATGGATTCTGGGAACTATCAGTCCTAAATTAATACATGTAGTGAGAGCATTAAGAATGCAACTTGGATTATTAGGCTTCAGGTAAGGAGTGAAGTTCTTTGGACTCTGGGGAAAACATCGGAGTCCTTTTTGGCATCTGGCACAAGTAATAAACAGTTGGGAGGAAATCGTAACCAGAAAAAAACAAACACCCTGTTTCTATTGCATTCAGGTTTTTACTGTCTCATCCTAAATATTCTGGTGCAAGATTTAATAATAGCCATTACTTGAGCGAGCCAAGAGCACCAGTCTTTTTTCAAAACAGTTTTTTTTTCTTTCTTTCTTTGTTTTGTGTGTTAAGCTAACACACATGTCTGTCAAGTCCTAAGGAAGTTTGTAACTTCTTTGGCATTGCAGATCTTTGCAGTGTTTGATGTCTTTTTCATACTAGAATTTTACTGTGCAGCTAAGTTACTCCCACTTTTTAGGAAATTAAGTCTCTACTCTTAATACAAATGGCATAGAGACTTCTTGTCTGGGTGTAAGGGTCTGTAGTAACATCTTGTCTACCAAAACCTGGAGGAAGTAGATAAGATGGAGTTGCCATTCTTCTTCCTCTTTCTGTTTGATGTGTACTGGAATATTTGCTTGTCCCTTTCATGTAAATGCCATCAGCCTATCGAAGTTTTGACAAATTTGGGTTTTTCTTTGCCGTTTTGTTTAAAGCACTGGGAAAGCAGAAGCAGGTACTCAATTTAGTCCTGAAGTTCACAAGTGTAGGACTAATGAAGGGGGGGGGGGAACAGCTAAAAAGCTGTTGTTAAAGGTCTTGTTAAAATGACAGGCATGCTTTTCAGTTCAGAGAGTAGTTTATAACAGCTAAATTAACCAGTACTGTGCTAAAGATCGCAGTCCAAATGAACAGTGAGTGCAGGAGAGACTAACTGTCCAGTAACATGTTATGTTAGTAATATGCATTAGCACCAGTGGAGGCGCGTAGGGGGTGCATGGACGTGCACGTGCATCCCCTGAGAGCCCTGGTGCACCTCTTGACAGGCAGCACTCCCCGCTTAGGCAACGGGAAGTGGGGGTAGGTGGGAGCACTGGGGCCCCCCCCCCCGCAAGCACTGGGTGGGGAGTGGGGGCGCCAGGTGAAACGCCCCTGGCACTTCTGGGAACTCTGTGACCACTTCTAGGAGCTCTGCTCGCGCTTCCCAGTCGGCACGATCAGGACCCCCTGGCTCCCCTGGTCACTGACTGGCTGCTGGGAGGGGGTGGGGGGGGCACGTGCCCCCTTACCACCACCCC